GCCCCACCGCCTCCGCCCCCCCGCCGGCAGGACCCTGAACCCCCGGTGCCGCGGGTCGGATTCACCCCATCCCTTCTCGAAATCTCCTGGCCATGGGCCAGGCCCCAGCTCACTCGTGGGAACACACGCACAGAAAATCGGGTTCAGGTCTGCAGGAGCGGCTGCGGCAGAGGGACGAGCGTCCCCTGGGACGGGTGCAGGGCGTGCACGGGCGGCCAGGGAGCATCACCTCTTCGAGAGCATCCCTGTCCCGTCCCCAGGCACGGCTGGGCCTTTGGGGTTGTGTCGGGGGGTACCGGAGGCAGCTGAAGGTGGTTGTGAAATGCAGGGTGAAACGCTGCGGCCCCGGGGAGGCTGCGCTGGGGGAAGGCTCTCAAACCTGGATGGGGACTGAGCGATGCCATTTCCAGCCTGGGCTTTCTTTGCCGTTGCAGGATTTCCTGCACCCTTGAAGCAGGTCTCAGCTGGGGGAGAGCAGAACGAGTCCCCCCAGCTGCAGGGCAGCCCCCAGCCGGCGCCGCTCCTTCCAGAGACCATGTCACCCCGGTCTCCGCTACCCTGAGACCTCCCAGCAAGTCACGCATCCAGCCAAGCTCTCGGGTTCACTTGCAGGGAAATCACCAGCAAGTCCACATGCAACCCTGGGGATGGGCCCCAGCTCTCCCGGGACGGAGCAGACGAGAATGGAGGAGCCCCAGAGGACAGACCCTGCTCAGCCACAACCCCACACACTTGGGTTTCTATCGCTGTGGTTAAGGGTGGTGCCATGATTTAATAACCTGGTTATTGATAAAATCTAAAGTGCACACGCTAACGGGCAGCGGTGGGTCCAGGACGCAGAGAGTCAAAGAAAAAACAAACCAGAGGAAGTTTATAATCAATGACTTTTATCTTTTGAAAATGGAAGCAAATATTTGGACAGATACTATGGCCGCTCTATAAGAGCGCATCTTTCAGGACTTCGCTGGTTCTCTTCTGGGATATCACGGCTACAAAAAGCTTCAGGCACTGACTCCGGTTGAGCCTGGCTAGGCATCAGTTCATTTAAATAAAATACAGGCTATAAACTAAAAACCAGGGCGGCCTTTCCTCCGCCCTCCTCAGACCATCTACCACACACCGATCTCCTCCGGGCATTTCAATCCAGCGTCTCAGAAAACTTATTTCCCTCCAATTAGAAAAAACAAAAGGTCCCCAAGCACACAACCCTGAAGTCACACATACAAATCAACACGGAGATCACTGTTTGGGGGAGCATTACGTTTGGTTTTGTTTTCAGAAAAAAAAAAAAAAAACAAAACAACCAACCCCAAAAAACCTCACATCGCCTCAGCCATTTACTGCAATACAAAAATGTCACCGAACATTCAAATAACCCGGAGCGTCTGGACTGTGAATCCAGCATCAGTGGTCACAGACACAGGGCAGGGGACGCTCATCCCTCCTGCTGTGCTCGCCACTTAAAACAAAGAAAACCCACTTTTATGAAGCTTTCATGCTATGCAATTGTAACACATCCTCTGTCTCTTCGCGTCCCGTTCTCGTGCCTCTCCAGCTATGTCGCCTGGCCGTCCCGTTGGTGTGGTTTCGCCTTTACACACACAGACATCCCTCCAGAACAGAGAATCCTTAATCTGCAAGTTCTGAACATGCAAACACCGGAAAAAATGGAAAATTTGAGGATTTCTAGCTAACCTAATGGAAAAAAAAAAAAAAGATCACTTCAGCCTGGACGAAGGGACGCTCTCCCCCGCCGAGCGGCAGCCGCCGGGGATGCCCTGGGTGGGGGGACGCTGCTCTGGTGTGGCGGCTCCCAAGCACACAAACGTGCACGCACATCGGGGATGCAGTGAGCTGCTTCAGGGATCGATCCCCAGCTGGGACAGGTATTGAGGCTCCTCAGCCGACAGCTCTCGGCACCCGAGTCTTTGCCCACCTTCGGACTCGACGCGGGTTGCCGACATTTCCCCTGCCCTGCGGGGACGGGCTGTGCTGTGCTGGGCAGCAGCAATCCAGCCTGGCACAGCTTGCCGGGGTGGCACGGATTGTGTTCGTGCCCCAGGGACAGAGCCCGCAAGCAGGGACCCGTGCCTGCCTCGTCCCTGACAAAGGCAGCCCCCCTCACAGGGGAGACCCCACACGAGCAGAGGTTTGCTGAGCTGAGGCATCCAAGAAATTCCACGAGGAGCTCACGAGCCTGATGTGCCCACGGGGTCTCTCCCCTGAGGATCTCAAAGGACAGTGTGAGAAACCAGTTCTCCAAACTGGGATCAAAACCACCCTCCCCAGTCCCTTCCACTCCAAAGGACTGGGAGTGCAGGAGGTCTGGGGATGGAGGTCACTCATCTGATCCGGGAACAAGTAATTTCCTGCAAAGTTTTACGGCATGGTTGGGTGGTGAGGCAAGAATGATGGAGAGAGGAAAAAAAATTATAAAAAATTACAGAGGCATTTTGTTTCCAGAGACCCGTCATGATAAAGTCACCTAGCTACTGCTAATGCTGCTTTGGAAGCAGAGTCTAAAATTCTAACATCAGCACTAATGTGAGGGGCTAGAGAATTGCAAGCTCGCAGATTTCAAAAGCTTCTTTAAAGTCAATGAGCCAAAGAGCGTGGCAGCTCTAGTGCAGAAACAAATATTTACAGCAACGCATACAGCTGAAACGGACACCACGGAGAACCTGGTGACTGCAAATGTCCCACGGCTCACGTCCCCCATGGCACACCTTAAACTCTGTACTCCACGGATAAACGTAAAAACATTTCCTGCATGAAAGTGACTTCTGCCTCAAAATAAAATAAAAAAAAGTGGCAAGTAAAAACATGCCCGTCTGGACATGGCCAGAGGAATCCAAAACACGGGACTATTTTAAAAGGGCAACATGACGCTAGTTCAAAAGTTCTGTAGGGTGTAATAGGAGAAGAGGCGTTTTGTGGGACGAATCACCTCATCCAGAACTATGGTTTTTTTTCTTTAAACTGTCAGACAATGGGAACACATTAGGGAGGCAGGAAAGGCAGCTTGTACGATCTTTGAGGGGTCTCAGCAGCAGCCTTGGCCACACTGCAAAGGAAACCGATCTGATTGTTCAAAATGGAAGATTTATACAAAATAGCTTCAGTTTTGTTCTCTGAACAGTATAAACACCCACCATGCGCGCACACACACACGCACACACACGCAGTGCTGTCCCTTTAAATTTAAAACACAAATACTGCAAAATGGCAAATAAGAAAAATAAAAAGCAACTTTTTTTTTTTGGCAACTTTAAAAAATGGTTAAGAACAATGTGGCA